CCGAGCAGGCGGAAGGGACACGAGGCGCCCTGGCGCGCCCGCGGAGATCCCGGAGCCGGGAGTGCCGGTCTCCCTGGTGGGAAACGAAGGCAGGCCGGTGAAGCGTGAACTGTGGCTCAGCACAACGACGACGCCGGCTCACGCCTCGGGGCAGACGAACTGCACCGGTGCCCGGTGCCGCCCCAGGGGACCGAGTGGCGCCTGCAGACACGCCCCAGAGCCCGCAGGAGCGGACAGGCAGCTCCAGGCCCTGCACAGCCGAATGCACAGGCGGCCGCGGAGGGAAGCAGAGGGCTGGCGGCACACCGCGGTCACAGCCCTGGGCAAGGGGGGTCCTGGCCCTCGGTCTGCCTCGCAGCTCGGCTCTGCCCCGGGCTTCCGCGAAGCAGGGGTCCCTGAACCAAGTCCTCCCCAGAGGAGCCCTCGGTGTGTTTGCTGTAAAACCGCCCCGTGCCTGAACGTCTTCGGCTGCAAATGGACCGTAACAACAGCGACGCCACGGTGGCTGTGAGGGTTACACAAAGTTGTGTACGCCCTGCTTGCAGTAGGGCCCTGGACACAGTAGGACACTTGCTTTCTAGTTCTGCTTCCTTCGCCCCTTTGGGCCTGTGAAACCACGCTCGGCCAGGCTCATCGCTCAGTTCCGTTTCATGGAATGAGGTGTTGCCTGGTTCGAAAATTGCAAATGAAAGCCAATCAGGATATTTAAATCTGTTATGATTTTGTCTTTTGACTCTCGAGTACCTGCTTTAACATCTTATTCAATTATCTGTGTTTATACTTATTTCCCCCGCTAAACTCCTTGAGTGTAAGGAGTACTATTGCCTCGCATCTCCTCAGAATCTCCATAATACACAGCACAGTGCTGGGTACCTGATAGACGACCAATAAACCCCTACTTTATTGATTAGTAAAGAATGAAGATGAAACATGAGTTCTCAAGGTCCAGCTCGGTTTCTTTACCCTAAAAGCTTTAAAAAGATGCTCTTGTAGAGAAGATGTCAGGGCTGACTAGGTCACTGGGACCAACACCAAAGATGCTGGACATAACCCTACAAGAACATCTGCTTGGACGCATTAGAGAACCAAGGAGGCACAGGAGAACTACAGGTCCAGAAACAAAGACTACAATTCCCAGAGATGAGACTGCGGCAACACTTTTGCCCTAGGACTATTTATACACAGGGAAGGGACAACCAAGACACAGACGGTCACTTTTGATAACCTCTTGATTCCTCTAGGAGCACAAAAGTTAGATTCCAAAGCCCTGCAAGCTTGGTTGCCTTGGTTGCCTCTACTGGAAGAGAGCTGGAAACCCAACAGACCTCAGGAAGAGAGTAAACTGGAAATAAAACAGCCTTCACACAGATGCAGCCGTTTCCAAGCATCTGAGTGGCCCAGAAAAATCCTGACCTCTGACATCTGATTAAAGGTGATTTTAGATTGTGTCCTAAAGCCCCTCACAGATAAAAAAACAAGTCACTCCTGGATGGAAAGAGCACCATCCTAGTCTAGTCCTCGATTTATTTCTGTAACAATTTTTTAAAGAGAACCACGTACACAGGACAAAATAAAAACTTGCAGAAACTGGACACTGAATAATCAGAAATAGATTTTAAAGTAGCAATTCTTACTATGGCTAAGAAGACAAAATGCATGCTTAAAATTCTGGGTAGAGAAATGACAACTTTAAAAAAGTTACACAGATTTTTTTAAAAAACAAATAATACAAGAGACAAAATTAACGCACTATAGGCTGGGCATGGTGGCTCATGCCTGTAATCCCAGCACTTTGGGAGGCAGAGGCAAGAGGACTGTCTGAGCCCAGGGGTTCGAGACCAGCCTGCGCAACTTAGCAAGACCTCATCTCTACAATAAATAAATTGGCCAGGCATGGTGGCATGTGCCCACGGTCCCAGCTACTTGGACGGTAGAGGTGGAAGGATCACCTGAGTCCGGCAGGTTAAGGCTGTGGCAGCCATGAGCATGCCACTGCACTCTATCCTGGGCAACAGAATGAGACCCTCCACCTCAGTCTTCCAAGTACTTGGAACCACAGGTGCTCGCCACAATGCCCGGCTAATTTTTTTACTTATTTACTGTAGTGACAAGGTCTTGCCAAGTTGTCCAGGTTGCTCTTGAACCCCAATCCTCTCGCCTCCACCTCCCAAAGTGCTGATATTACAGGTGTAAGCCACCACACCCAGCATATATATATATTAGAGCTTCAAAATATGTGTGGACATGCAAATGGCAAGACACTCTTTTTGGTGAGACTAGGATAAAACCTGCCCGCGATGTGTCTCCAGACTTACTATGAAACAGCAGGCATCAAGGCAGTGTGTTATCAGTAGATGGACAAATATGACAACAAGACAGAAACAGAAACAGACTCAGGCATACAGGAGCACCTTCTCTATGACAAAGTAGGCACTACAGAGCAGTGAGAATAGGGCTGCTGTCGACAACAAATGCCACAAAGTCAACTGAATATCTGCATGGAAGAAAAACGAAGCTGACTCTTACCTCTTACCAGGCACACAAGCAAATCCCCAACAACAGGTACAGGTATGGAAAGCAAAACAGTACAACTCTTAGAAAACAAGGTGAGAACATAGCTTCATGATCCCAGGATAGGGGAAACTACCAGGACACAATAAACGCAAACTATGACGGACAAGACTGATGAACTGGACCAAATTAAAGTGATGAAGCTTTGTGTCGCAGAAACACTGTAAGAAAGTGAAAGGCAAGTCACTAGACGAAGACAGTTATAAAACAAATAAGCAACAACAGGCTGGATTCCAGAATATGTAAAGACCGAGAAATCAGGTGACAGGCACGCCAGTAGAAAAACTGGGGAAGTATTTGAACAGGCACTTCACGAAAGACACCAATGGCCATACGTCTAGGAAAAGTTGTTCAACTTCCTGCAGTCAATCAGGGAAATGCAAAGTAAATCATGAGACACTGCTACATACTCACTAGAATGGCTGAAACGAAAAAGGTCGACAAGACTAAGTGTTGGCAAGAATGTGGTACCACAGGAACGCTCTTTAAACCCTGCTGTTTTATAGTAAGTCTTGAGATGCGTTGGGGCACGTTTTATCCTTGTCTCACCAAAGAGAGTGTCTTACCATTTGCATGTCCACACACATTTTGAAGTGCTAAGTGCTGGCAGGAAGGTACACTGGCATAACTAACACTTGAGAAAACATCTGGCATTATATCAAACACGCGTGGAGATACACATATGCAGCAACCCCATTGCTGGGAGCACATCCCATCAAAATACATGCGTCTATACAACAGCTGAGACGCACCAGGACACTCAGAGCAACACTACCACAATAGCCAAACGCTAGAAACC